AAATTGTGATTACCATCTTGAACTTTTTTCGTCTGAAGGATTAACTGTTTGGCGTGTGAATATGTTCCCAATTGCGCAGCATTAACTACCATTGCACGCAGCACTGTTGGTCCACAACCCTGAGCTCTATAGCATCCAACAAGTAGTTGCCAAATTCACGATGTGTTATTCACCCGAAACCATGTGAGAATGCCTTCCTCCCTGGCTATGCGATACAGTGCCTCGATTACGTTCTTGTAATTTCTCCGCTGTTCTGGCGGTAGATGTCCGTCTCCTGTCAGTAGAGAGGAAAACATCTCAGAATTAGATAAGCTTTAGATCATTTTACCTGTCATTCGAATCAAAGCAACATCAGCAGGAGTGCCGACCATCGCTCCACAAGCTCCCGCTGTCATGCCTAACGCTGCTTTTGCTGGAAATGATAATGGCTTGTCCTTCCTGAAATAAATTTAAACGTCGTCTTCTGAGCTAGAGGGCTGTGAAATATGCACTTTGTGAAGCTTTCAAGCATCCACGTGTATATTCCAAGTCTTGTTGTTGTGTATGTGGCCTGTCTGAGTAGTCCTGCGCTCAATCCATTATAAAGTGCCAAGAAACCCTCATTTCGTACGACATGCAAGAAGGCGTGAAAGCTTGTCTTAAACTGCTTTTTCCCTTAAAACGTTCGTAAAACCATTCTGCTTTAATGAGTCTGAGTAACTGCAAACCGCTTTTTCCCGATAGTTGCATACGGTTTTTCAGAAGGTCGAGGGGCTGAACCACAGCTGCGGCTGTCATCCTAAATATTTCTCCCAAGATTTAATCTTACCTAGGGCGAAATCCATCATTGATCGAGGTATATTTTATCCCTAAGGCAAACATACCCAAGGTCATTACAATCTCAACGTGGAAATTGTATTCGTCAACCTATACCTTGAAGAGGATAATACTTCAGTTTCAAACCATACGGTGTAGCGTCACCACGTATTTTTTAATGATTTGCGCCAAAGTTTCGGTTTTTCACCAGAATGTGCATACTGGTACGTAATATCAAGCAAGTATTTTACAGGTTACGTTACAGGATTGATTTGTTGACTAACCTTCCTGAACATTTCATCAATTTTATTCTTATGTTCATCACTTGCAATGAGGAGGAAGGAATATAAATACGTTGTTTTTGATAAGGGGCTGTACATGGACGGATAAGTGAATGACTCATGCATTGAAGAATTCTATAGTAGCTTAGCCACTTCAGCGCAAATTGTTATGTAAAGATAAGCGTATGATCAAAATCCAGTGGAATCAAGTTAGCTATTTAGTTTTCTTCTAAAGATATATATATATATATATATATATATATATATATATAT